ATATATATGTATATGCATGTATGTATATACATGCTCCTCGTTTATCGTTTTAAAGTCACAGCATGACAACGACGACACAACGACGACGACGACGACAACTTAGAGACGAGGACGACAAGGATGGTGTAACATTTTTGTAGTTACATTTGAAACTATGCGTCACGTTTAGCGGAACGAATTCTTTGGTGTTTCACTTGCTGGATTAGTTAATTTGTTTTCTAATTTACTGTAAGATCTATTGCAACGACGTTTGCAAAGTAAAAAAAAAATCATTATCAAACGTAAAGTTCATCGTTGTTAAAGAAAATCTCTCTTATGATCGTTCTAAAAATAGAAGACAGAAAGAACAGAAAAAAAAAAAAAGTAAGAAAAAAAGTAGGACTGCATGAGTCATTGTTGAAAATAATAATGTTGCAATTCTGCAAACATCACGTTAGCAGAAAATTAGTTGTTTCGTTTCGTCGTAAATTTCAGTAGATTTTCAATGAAAACGTGTGTTTCCTTTTCATATTTTACCGCGTTCTCTTTCGATTGGTCAATCCAAATCATTTCAAATGGTGTACGTATTTTTAATGGTAAAGAAACATTTTTTAGAAGTGGGGGTATATTTTTGAAAGTTTATTGTTTTCATTGATTTATGGATTTCTCTTCTTCTCGCGAACATTTCCATTTTGATATCGTTTCAACCACGTTTATTATAATTCTTTTTCTTTCTTTCTTTATGCTAAACCAAACTCGAAAACTCACTAACCGACACCTGTCCTGCCTCGAAAAGGAAGAAGGAAGGTAAACCCAACAGGTTTTACACACAAGGCACAACACCCCATCGGCTACGAACATCGATACGATGTTCAAAGAAACGTGAACGATTTCTCAACGAAAATGTTCTTTTATGTTATATATATATATATATTTTTTCTTTTTATTTTTGTTGTTTTTTTTTTTTTAACCTAAGTATTATATACATCATTTATTATATACCATGTATTAGAGTGTATACAGTAGGATCTTGATTAACAAGCGTGATCGGGGGAAAATATACGACGCGAATAAATCGAGGTTCAATGGATAATCGAGACTAAGGTGGAATTTAAAAAAAAAAAAAAAGAAAAAACATACGTTTTTTTATTGTATGCATAATAAGATTTTCTTCTGTAGGCTTTTATTTATTTTTTTTTTTTTTTTTTCTTTATAGAATAATATATAAATATGTATACTTATATACATACATTGTATTGAATATGTATTATATAAATAATATTTATATGTTTGTATGTGATTATTATTTGTGCACATATTTATTGCTTTATTAGTTTTATTAGTTTTCCATTGAAAATTTATTTATTCATGTAAAAAAAAAACAAACAAACAAACAAACGATTAAAAAGATTTATTTTAGATATCAAAAGTTATGCATCTCTCAAGCTTAAGTATACAAAACAATTTAAAACAAAATAAAAATAGGGTTAATCGTTTTTAGGTTATAAATTATTCGTTTGTACATAAAATCCATTTGATATTCCATATATAATATCCAATTGAATACCATAAAACAAAATGAAAATTGACATTTTGAAGTTTTTCTAAAATGGCGGTAAATTCAAATATACACCGGGGATTAATAATATCGTATAAAAATCAAGTTTAGAATCGTGCTAAATAAAACCGGTTGGTTTACAATTTTTGTCGACTGTATGTATTCACTTCGAAAACCGGTGGTCGTTAAATCGAGTGTATCACACGTAAATCGGGTTATCGACGTGGTGGTAAAGCTTAAGAAATTTATTGACTCTTCAATGTTTTTTAATAAGACGAATTGTCAAAAGTAATTTTCATGATGGAAGGAAATAGTAATAGAGGGACAAAAGAAGAAAAACAAGATAAACAATGTGAACATTTGTGTCGGTAATTTGAGCTAATTCGTTGGAAATCGATCAAAATCGATCAAAATTGATCGATACCCGTAAGATAAAGTAATGTCAAGGAATTCAAACTTTCAGAATTCGTGTTTTTTTTTTTTAAATATTACTGTATAACTTTTTGTATATGATTATTTAATTACGTGATTATTAAACGATCCTTTTTAATGATAAGAATATATATACAAATATAAGTAGAATATATATATATA